GACCTGGTTTAGTCCTGGTTTAGTCCTGGTGTTTAGACCTGGTTTAGACCTGGTTCAGTCCTGGTTCAGTCCTGGTGTTTAGACCTAGGGTAGACCTGGTTTAGTCCTGGTTTAGACATGGTTTAGACATGGTTTAGGCCTGGTTTAGGCCTGGTTTAGGCCTGGTTTAGGCCTGGTTTAGACCTGGTTCAGTCCTGGTTTAGACCTGGTTTAGACCTAGGCTAGACCTGGTTTAGACCTGGTTTAGTCCTGGTTTAGTCCTGGTTTAGTCCTGGTTTAGTCCTGGTTTAGACCTGGTTTAGACCTGGTTTAGACCTGGTTTAGACCTGGTTTAGACCTGGTTTAGACCTGGTTTAGTCCTGGTTTAGTCCTGGTTTAGTCCTGGTTTAGACCTGGTTCAGACCTGGTTCAGTCCTGGTTCAGTCCTGGTTTAGTCCTGGTTTAGTCCTGGTTCAGACCTGGTTCAGACCTGGTTCAGACCTGGTTTAGACCTGGTTCAGTCCTGGTTCAGTCCTGGTTCAGTCCTGGTTCAGTCCTTGTTTAGTCCTGGTTCAGTCCTGGTTTAGTCCTGGTTCAGTCCTGGTTCAGTCCTGTTTCAGTCCTGGTTTAGACCTGGTTTAGACCTGGTTCAGTCCTGGTTCAGTCCTGGTTTAGTCCTGGTTTAGTCCTGGTTTAGTCCTGTTTCAGAGCTGGTTTAGGCCTGGTTTAGGCCTGGTTTAGTCCTGGTTTAGGCCTGGTTTAGTCCTGGTTCAGTCCTGGTTTAGACCTGGTTTAGACCTGGTTTAGACCTGGTTTAGTCCTGGTTTAGTCCTGGTTTAGACCTGGTTTAGACCTGGTTTAGACCTGGTTTAGACCTGGTTTAGACCTGGTTTAGACCTGGTTTAGACCTGGTTTAGACCTGGTGTTTAGACCTGGTGTTTAGACCTGGTTTAGACCTGGTGTTTAGACCTGGTTTAGACCTGGTTCAGTCCTGTTTCAGTCCTGGGGTAGTCCTGGTGTTTAGACCTAGGGTAGACCTGGTTTAGTCCTGGTTCAGTCCTGGTTTAGTCCTGGTTCAGTCCTGGTTCAGTCCTGTTTCAGTCCTGGTTTAGACCTGGTTCAGTCCTGGTCCAGTCCTGGTTTAGTCCTGGTTTAGTCCTGTTTCAGACCTGGTTTAGGCCTGGTTTAGGCCTGGTTTAGGCCTGGTTTAGGCCTGGTTTAGTCCTGGTTCAGTCCTGGTTCAGTCCTGGTTTAGACCTGGTTTAGACCTGGTTTAGACCTGGTTTAGACCTGGTTTAGACCTGGTTTAGACCTGGTTTAGTCCTGGTTTAGTCCTGGTTTAGACCTGGTTTAGACCTGGTTTAGACCTGGTGTTTAGACCTGGTTTAGACCTGGTTCAGTCCTGTTTCAGTCCTGGGGTAGTCCTGGTGTTTAGACCTAGGGTAGACCTGGTTTAGTCCTGGTTCAGTCCTGGTTTAGACCTGGTCCAGACCTGGTCATCAGGATAAACATAAGTCTTTATGTGTCTTATTGTCTCCATCAGAAGCTTCTAGAAACCCAAAGAAACCCTGGAGTGAGGAGGAGAGCCGTGGAGAAGAGGATGGAGAAGTACCTGGCTCTGTGTGCTGTGCCTCACACAGGAGTCTGCAGCCCTCATCAACAGAACCTGGAAGGACCTCAAGTACTTTGTGTATAATACTATTATCCGACTCAAGAGGCAGCTTGTGTAGCTGGTATTTGTGTCAAACTCATTCCCAAAGCGCCGCAGTGGCTGCAGGTTTTCCATCAGACCAAGCAGGAGCAGAGCAGACTCCTCCCATTTCCTCAGTGAGTTCAGTCTTAACCTGAAGGTTTGAGGAAATGGGAGGAGTCTGCTCTGCTCCTGCTTGGTCTGATGGAAAACCTGCAGCCACTGCGGCGCTTTAGGAATGAGTTTGACCGCCCTGCTTTAATGTTAAGTGCAGTTATGTTTTAAAGTCCCGTTCAAGAGCACTTTGTATTAGGTCCTTTGTAATTGTCCTGTTGGGACAAGTCAAAATACAAAGATGCAAATAAACCTGTCTTTCAAATGTTTTGCTTTGTTTTATTAAAATTGCTGTGATCCCACATAATAATCTGTGTCCATTTGCACATGTGACCAACTATATAATTCTAAATATACCTTCAAAGAGTAAAAAAAAAGGTCTATTCATGATTTTTTTTGCAAATTTCACTTATTGCCCCCACTCTGATGGTTCAAAACTTTTTCTTAAATCTTGGTTTCTAAAATTTTTTCAATGGAGTGTATAGCTCCGCAGCGCCATCAAGTGTCTAGAAAGTGTTTTTTCTTCCTCCTAAAACATTGGGAAAGGCAAGTCCTCAGTTTTCATGTTTTTAACTACGACCTCACTAGTGTTTGCGGGAATGTGTGTGTTTGTGTGTGTGTTCTGGCGAATAGAGACTGATTGTTGAATGTCTGAAGTGTTATTGCAATAGCACCACACTGAGAGCGAGGGTCAGGGCAGATAGTAACATGTGTGCACGTGTGTGTGTGCGCGCCCCGGACACGAGTGCACACACACACACACTTCAGCAACGAGCGTACGAGCGCTGAGAAATGAATGAATGAGAATGAAAAGTGTGGAGCAAAGTGATCGGAGGCAGGGAAGTTACAAGTGTGTGTGTGTGTTCTGGTGATTAAATAAAGACTGATTCTTTAATGTCTGAAGTGTTACTGCGATAGCACCACTGAGAGCAGGGTCAGGACAGAGGGAGTTATACTCGTAGGAAACGCTTTTCTTTGGCCTTGCAGCCACACACTCCCTGTGCCCCTCGGTCTGGGGCTTATATGAAAGGTTTAACAGAAGCGGAGAATATAAGAAAGTGCAGGAGAGACGTGTGTGTGAAAATGCGTGTCACAGGAAGACGTGTAATGTGACGCAAGATAATCAGATATTAGGACCGACATCACACACATCAGGTCTGAGTGAGATATTAGGACCTATAACACACACATCAGGTCTGAGTGAGATATTAGGACCTATAACACACACATCAGGTCTGAGTGAGATATTAGGACCTATAACACACACATCAGGTCTGAGTGAGATATTAGGACCTACAACACACACATCAGGTCTGAGTGAGATATCAGGACCTGCAACACACACATCAGTTCTGAGTGAGATTTTAGGACCTACAACACACACATCAGGTCTGAGTGAGATATTAGGACCTACAACACACACATCAGGTCTGAGTGAGATATTAGGACCTATAACACACACATCAGGTCTGAGTGAGATATCAGGACCTACAACACACACATCAGGTCTGAGTGAGATATTAGGACCTACAACACACACATCAGGTCTGAGTGAGATATTAGGACCTACAACACACACATCAGGTCTGAGTGACATATTAGGACCTACAACACACACATCAGGTCTGAGTGACATATTAGGACCTACAGTATAACAAGCACTTCAGGTCTGAGTGAAATATTTATCAATCGTTACTCCTTTCACGGAGAGTAACTCTGTAGATGGACAAATACATTATAACTTTAATGTAGAATTATTTATTTTTATACATTGTGTTTGTAATTTTTGACACCTCACTTTTATATTTGTTTTTGATGTTTTAAATTCTAATTTAAACATGATTTTCCAACTGGAGTTAAGACAATTTTTCAGGGAGATAATCTACTGACACAAGGAGAACATGCAAGCTCCACTCCAAAAGGCCCCTTCTGGCTGAAAGTTTTTTTCTTTTCTTTTTTTTTACAAACACACACTCACTACTCAAGTATCTTTTTAAATTACCATGAGTCAATATTTTGGCTATTCTACCCACCTCTGGGAATGTATTTAAGTTTGTGACAAAATAGGTGACATATGAGGACAAGTGTGTGTGTGTTAAAAGTGTGTTAAGGTAGTACCGTGCACGACCAGAGAGGCGCTTCAAACTTTTTGGGACGGAGTGTTTCGGCCCCGACACACATTTTCACTATTTGTAGACATTTTGGGACATGCTTGATTTTTGGTGTGGAGCTTGTTCTGGGCCTCTACAACACTGTAGTATGCATGGAAAAATGGGGACCTGAAAAAAGTCCTCACATTTCCTCAGGTCCTGATATTGAAGGTGTGTTATCATACAAAAGTCCTCATATGTCCACAAAACAAACGCACTCATACACACACACACACAAACACACTCACACATACATACACACACACACACAACACACACTCATACACTCATACACACACACACAAACACACACTCACACTCATACACACACACACACAAACACTCATACACACACACACACAAACACACAAACCCACACTCATACACACACAAACACACAAACACACACTCACACTCATACACACACACAAACACACTCACACACACACACACACACACACTCATACACTCACACACACACACACTCATACACACACACACACAAACACACAAACACACACTCATACACACACAAACACACACTCACACTCATACACACACACACAAACACACTCACACACACACACACACTCATACACTCACACACACACTTATACACACACACACACAAACACACAAACATACACACACTCATACACTCACACACACACACTCACACTCATACACACACACAGACAAACACACACTCACACTCATACACACACACACACTCATACACTCACACACACACACAAACACACACTCATACACTCACACACACACACAAACACACACTCACACTCATACACACACACACACACACACAAACACACATAGTTACTTCTTTAACGTCTGTAATCTTACTTCAAAGAGAAACAGTCCTTGATCTACAGTAGTTCTAGCAACACTGTTGAATACACAAACACACACACATGGAACTGACTTTAGTCCAGGACCAGGCCAGAACCAGGACAGAAACAAACTAGAACCAGTCCAGAACCAGGCAAGAAACAAACTAGAACCAGTCCAGAACCAGGCAAGAAACTAGTTCAGGACCAGGCCAGAAACTAGTCCAGGACTGCTCCGGTAGTGCCACAGTAGTAGAGGACCTGGTTTCCATGACAACTGTGTGTGCGTCTCACCCGAGGGAACCCGCGCACGGCACAGCTGATGGCCGTGGTGTAGCCTGCCACCACCTTCCTGTCCACTAGGGGCGCTGTGAACTTGGGCGAGTGGCTCAGGTCCATCTCTTTGTACGGACGAGGACTGAAATCCAAACCTGAGAAACACAGGATGTTACAGTCGTTATGATGAATATTTAAAAACACAGTATTATACATTTAAGTACACCAGCTTTAAAGGTACAGGAGGATTTTCTACTTCCGGGTCGATCGTCAAGACTATTGGTCCCCTAAACCTTTCACTGCAGAAGATCTCACGGCTCAAACTGATGGAACTCTGCAGTTAAAGTAATTCTCATCAACGTGTGTCATATGGAACATCAAACCAGCACAATACTGAACATTGTTTGTTTAGTATTGGCTCAGTCTTATCCCGGGTCCACCCACAGGCCAGGAGTGGTATTACAAGCATGTCCGCGCACGTCATTTTGGCCATTTTTGAGTCCAAAGACTGCCTCCGCCCGAGTTTAGCCCTGCGCCTTTGTACATGACAGTCTCCTCTGGTCCTGCCTCCTCTGGTCCTGTCTCCTCTGGTCTCCTCTGATCCTGTCTCCTCTGGTCCTGTCTCCTCTGGTTACAGTATGTCTCCTCTGGTTACAGTATGTCTCCTCTGGTCCTGTCTCCTCTGGTTCTGCCTCCTCTGGTCCTGTCTCCTCTGGTTACAGTATATCTCCTCTGGTTCTGTCTCCTCTGATCCTGTCTCCTCTGGTCCTGTCTCCTCTGGTTACAGTATGTCTCCTCTGGTCCTGTCTCCTCTGGTTCTGCCTCCTCTGGTCCTGTCTCCTCTGGTTACAGTATGTCTCCTCTGGTCCTGTCTCCTCTGGTCCTGTCTCCTCTGGTCCTGTCTCCTCTGGTTACAGTATGTCTCCTCTGGTCCTGTCTCCTCTGGTCCTGTCTCCTCTGGTCCTGTCTCCTCTGGTTCTGCCTCCTCTGGTCCTGTCTCCTCTGGTTACAGTATGTCTCCTCTGGTCCTGTCTCCTCTGGTCCCACATTCACACTCACACTCATTCACCCTGAACTATTGCTTTTAGTGGTAGGGGAAACCGGGGCACCCGGAGGAAACCTACGCAGACACAGGGAAAACATACAAACTCGACCCGGAAAGGACCTGTTCCGACCGGGATTCGAACCCAGGACCTTCTTGCTGAGAGGCGAGAGGGCTAACCACTCAGCCACCGTGCCGTCTCTTACACATAGACTCTCTGATGGAGGAGCCGCAGTTTGACAGGTTAAATAAAAACTGTTTAAAATGTTCCTGAAGCCTTCGCACCTCGCAGCTGTTGGAACCTTTGCTAATTGTGCAAATAAAAGTGATATTTTTGCCTCTCGGTTCCTGAAACAGCACCGGCACCTTCTGAAAAAGCACCGGCATCTTCTGAAAAAGCACCGGCACCTTCTGAAAAAGCACCGGCACCTTCTGAAAAAGCACCGGCACCTTCTGAAAAAGCACCGGCACCTTCTGAAAAAGCACCGGCACCTTCTGAAAAAGCACCAGCATCTTCTGAAAAAGCACCGGCACCTTCTGAAAAAGCACCGGCACCTTCTGAAAAAGCACCGGCACCTTCTGAAAAAGCACCGGCACCTTCTGAAAAAGCACCAGCACCTTCTGAAAAAGCACCGGCACCTTCTGAAAAAGCACCGGCACCTTCTGAAAAAGCACCAGCACCTTCTGAAAAAGCACCGGCACCTTCTGAAAAAGCACCGGCACCTTCTGAAAAAGCACCAGCACCTTCTGAAAAAGCACCAGCACCTTCTGAAAAAGCACCAGCACCTTCCCACAGACACAGAACAATGTGCTTAAACATGGGCTATAATCATCTCCTGGTCTGGGTCCAGGGTTTGGTCTGGGTCCAGGGTTTGGTCCGGGTCCAGGGTTCGGTCCGGGTCCAGGGTTTGGTCCGGGTCCAGGGTTTGGTCCGGGTCCAGGGTTTGGTCCGGGTCCAGGGTTTGGTCCGGGTCCAGGGTTTGGTTGGAGCGGGGACAGATCCACAGAAAACCCTGATGTGTATTTTTGGCGCTGGTTGAAGAAGGCGGTGACTTCTCTTCTTTTTAAACGGTTTCCAAATGAAATAATTACCAAGAACTTAACGAAAATAACAGTTTTTGTTGTAAAGGTGAGAACGACACTGTGAAGGTGAAGAAGAAGATCAGTGTTTTCAGATTATTAGACCTCAAAACTCCTTCTCTTAAACACATGTGTCTCTATATTCTAGAATAAACTTAAAATAGATTGGACCAAGTTTAATGTATTCATTCTCGTGCATCACATGAAAAACTAAATCGGTTAAATCCATTCGACCAATGAGTTCTCTCTGCCACAGTTTCAGGATTTGAGTTTTACAAAGAAAACTGGGTTTACAGTGTAGGCCACAGGGAGCAGGTCCCCGTATTGAGAACCAGAGGCAGAATCAGTGGGGCCACTAATACTAACAAACATCCAATCATTCACGGCCTCTCACGCCATTTTACTAAATAAGAACTAAAGTTAAAGCTGCATTACCTGACTTTATGTTTGTATTCATGAGTTAAATCCAGTCCATGTCCATGCAGTGCTTTGGGATAAACGTCCTTTTGAAGAATAACTAGCACAGATTTGAGCTGGAGTGACATTTTATTTTAGATCGAGTTTTTGAGCAACAGGGAAGAGAAAGTGTTTCGGGTCCAGATTGTGACCAATCACAGCGGAAGTGCTTTTATTCTTTATTTTGTTATTATGCCTTCTCTACTCTTACCTCTCTCTCTGACTGTTGCACTGAGCCAGAGACATTTCCAAGTCTGTGACTTCCTGTTACATACGTGGCAATAAAAAAGATTCTGATTCTGGACTAGTCTGGTCTTATCCATCCGTACTCTCAGGTCAATCCTCATGTCCTGCATTAACGTCTGGGTCTGGTCCCTGTGTTTGTGATTACAATCGGTTGAATTCCATCCGACCAATCAGAGAGCGCGGGAGGCGGGTGTTGTAGTTAGTTGTGGGAGACGTCAAGAGTTTGTGTTGAACGGGCAGGTTGTAGTTTGGTGAAGAATGTGATAGTAAAGTATTCTGGTCTGGTTCTATCAAGAAACTGAAGCCGGAACAAGAGGAATGTTTAGCAAATGTAATCGCTGGAAAAGATTGTGGCGCTACTCGTAAACGGGCTCCGTTAGTGGCAAAGGAGATGGCTAAAGCTAGGCTAAATGCTAAATGCTAACAACAGACTCGGGCGCACTACATACGTCACAGTAAACTCAGATCCAATCGTTTCAATCTGCAAAAGGAGTTAACCCCTCCCACCTGTTCACGGAGTCAATGGAGCAAATCCAGACCTTAGTATGAAATGTAATGTGTACTATGGTGTGGTAAGACCCGACTAGTTCTGGACCACTGGCCCCCACTTTCATGAGAAAAGCTACAGGTGTCATGGTTTAGGTTTATTTCCTGTTTTATTTTGTAGTTTGTTATATCCCTGTGTCTTTGGTTGCTCTTCCTGTTTACTGATTACCTGCCCCGCCCTCCTGCCCCGCCCTCCAGCCCCGCCCTCCTCTGTCTCACCTGTGTCTCGTTAGTCTTGTATTTAGCCCTGTGTGTTCCTTCACTTCCTGTTCCGTCAGTGTCATTCCGCGTCCATTTTAGTTCTGTCCTTGTTCCCTTTGTTTTTGGATTTGTT